AAGGCTAACTAGATCGGGGTTCTTTTCTATTTTTTTTTAAAAAAAAGAGTATATTTAACTCTTTTAAATACTGTTTTTAAATTTTTGAAAAAAATACCGCCTGTTAAAATAACCAAGTATAATGCGTATGTTTAGAAATAAATACAACACCAAAATATTTGGAAGCGAATATTATTAACCTTCTATTTTTATTTTAAATTTCCATTAAAATCGATCCGCAACTACATGAAGTGTTTTATTATGATTATGATATAGTAAAAGTTTGGTTCGGGTTCAGAAATTTAGAAAACACGGGTTTCCAGCTTCGGGTTCTAAACCCTGGTCAATAGCACTTAATTTCAAGAGAAGATGATTTAACTCTGCCCTGGCCTCTAACAAAAAGAAATATTTTTATATAATTTTATTTTATAATCAATTGCGAAAAAAATAAATAAAATAAAAGAACATTTATATATATAATTTAGTATTATTTAAGTAACGAGTTATTTTTTTCGGACGTAACAAGTTTCCTTTTAGAATAACGCTTACAAGCACATGTTTGTAAATTTAAAATGCGAAACTATATTTTATTTATTAATTTTGAACCCATTTTTTTAAAAAAAATACCCGGGTTAGGCCGTATATTTTAAAACCGAATATTTAAAATCACCATTATTAGATATATAAATTACGAAAATGTAGTATCTTTTCAAAAAAAAATCTGGACAGAGCTGATAAACCTTTTTTTAAAAAAATACCGGGCTAAAAATTTTAAAAAAAAATCCAGGCTGGGCAAATGTATCTTTGATTAGCTAATTAAAAGTAACATAAGTCAGCTGTCGTGCCTTTCCTGATTTACACTTCGACTAATTGTCTTTATTTATCACTATATGAATGCAATGTTATTTAATCGACGTGCAAACCACAAAAGGACACTATAGCTGACTCCCATGTATGGACACTTTTAAATGCAGATGCATTAAGTGAAAGAATCGCCAATCTAATAGTATAAATAGTATATACACATTATTGTTTATGGTTTAGAGAATTGGAAATTTGTCAATTAATTTGATGAAACAAATCATTATTTTTGAAAATAATATCGGATTTTTTTTATATGCTCCAGCTTTGTCTGACGGAACACTTAACGAAGTTTTTCCTCGTCATATTAATTTTATTTAAATCATTTTATCCAAATGGCCACCAGTAGATCATGCCAAGGCCTCGACCAATTCATTTTATAATATATTTAGGTACGATCTTTACAATATTTATCCATTCCACAACATAAATAACTAAGGGCTTCTTTCCTTTATTCGTTAATCTTTTATACCGTTTCAGTTGATTCTATGCACTTTTTTTCGTTGCATTTAAAGTCAGCTGGGAAACATAATTCGTTAATTTATTTAGATGTCATTAGTTAAATTTTACAAAAATTAATATCACATTAGCCAACAAAATTCTTCGCTATACTGTTAATTAGCGATACCCAGATTTTCTAGTACTAGTTCTAATCGGACCAATAGTTGTTGCCATGTAGGCCTATTCAAAAACGAATTCGAATCGAATAGTGCATTATTCATATTCGATTCGTTAACGAATCGATTTACTATTTGAATTCGTACGAATAATAAAATCTACTATTTGTATTCGATTCGAATTATTCGAATATTTCGAATTAATTTTTTTTAATAAAATAAATAAAAGGAGTATTATGATTTATAAATAATTTTAATAAATTATAAATTAATTTTTTTTGAAGAATTTGGTGTAGACTTTAAAAAAATGTCAATTTTATTATTTTTTTTAATAAGGTGTGAATGAAACCTATTATAATGATTAATAAGAGATGTTGTTTTACTCTTGCAATGATTGCAAGCAGCCTTTTCACTATCTTTAAGGATTTGATATTGATCCCATATGATTGCTCTCTTTTGTGAGGAAATTTTCTCATCTTCAACATCAAGCATAATTTCATCAGAAGCAATCTCCTCTAACATAATTAGACTAGCTAACAATAATTATTGTAGAAATGTAATATATTTTTATGTACCTCTGGTTTGTGTAATTTTTAATAAAATTTATTATGAGATTCAAAAAATAAACTTTTCATGAGATTCAAAAAATGTGCAAATAAAAATTTAAATTTTCACTTCAGAAATTTTTAAATATGTGCTAGAATTTTTATAAACACAAACACATCACCTGTCCGATTGGCAGGTCAACAAATAGAAATGACAAATGTTAGATTCTGTCCAAATACATCTGTGCCTACCGCCCAAACAGGAATATTAATGAACCTATATTGGCATTAAAGATACTAATACAGAAGTGTGACAAATATAAATTACCATTCTATTTTATCTTCGTCGATTTTAAGCGAGCGTTTGACAGTGTTATTCATGATTCTTTGTGGGCAATCCTAGAAGGATGTGGCATTGACGGAAACATCATTAGGATTCTAAAGACACATTACGGTAATTTCTTCGCCTCGCTTAAAATTAGTAATAAAGTTTCTCCCCCCTTTAGAACTAAAAAAGGAGTAAAACAAGCCCCGCTGTTGTTTAACATAGTTATGAATAAAATAAATTGATTCGCTGGGAGCTGCAAATCTTCTAGAACTTGGACTCAATGAGCCTTGGTATTTGGAAAATAGGGTGATTTGCTATGCAGATGACTTAGTTATGATTGCCAAGAGCTTGGAGGAGGCCCACAATCTAGTCTTGATACTAAATTCTTTCAGCTTAAAGGTTGGATTGGATATAAACTTCGATAAGACGGTGATTATGCCTTCATCTCATGCGCCCCCATTGGTTGATTGGATGGTTGGGGGAAAGTTGGTCAAGGTGGTGTCCTCCTATAAATATCTTGGGGTAAACATGGACTTTAGGGGTAGCTGTCACGAAGAACTAAAAATTAGAATTCATAATGCAAGGGTTGCTTTCTACAAATATTTCAAACTGTGGAAATCCAGGGAGATATCGGTTCACACTAGGTTACGTATTTTCAATTCCACAATCATCCCAATTCTCCTTTACGGCGGTGATATATGGGAGATTACGAAAACAGAGATCAGGAGGTTACAGGTGTTCGTCAACAAATGTCTTAGGATAATAAACGGCATTTTTTACCCTAACATTATCTCTAATGTTAACCTTTGGCGGAGGTCACGTCACACTCTAGTGCAAGTGGCTTGGAAAAAGAAACGTCTGACCTTTTTTGCTCACATTCTGAGGAATCACACAAATAGTAGCCTGGTCCTGGAGGCGATCAATTGGTTATACTCATTCAACGGCAAAGTCTATGGGAATAATAAAACTTTATGGTTTTATAGGGCAGTGAAGGATATCTTGGATTTAAACCTCAACACGAATCAGTTTTTAAGGTTGAATAAGGATAAGAAATCAATAAATAAATTGTTGAATATCAAATCAAATTATTTGAACCTCTCATAAACTGCTCCCTGACACAGGTTATTTTTATTTTATCTTCTTTATTTTACTTTTGCTCCCTTTTCCTTTCATCTATTATTTGCTATCATTTTTCTCATCTTAAAGTTAGGTCCCCCTTTGCCTTTAAAATCTATTATGTATATAAGCATCTTATGAGTGTGGGCTGTGCTTATTTTGTCCTTTCCACATCAGCCCATAGACGTTTAAGTAATAGTCCTTGGACTATTACGCGTACAAGTACGTGCGGCTTGCCCACAAACGTGTGAAGGGCTCCTCATTTTTATCCCCTTTTAATTTGTCCAGTTAGATGGATATTGAGGAAAACCTAACGTAGCTCTGTTGTATCCACAACTAGAGGGCGTAAACGTTCTATATCACGTATTAAACAATTTATTAAATATTACGAATAATTCGTTTTATCTGAATACGAATAATTATTTATTCGTATTCAGATAAAACAAATAATTTATTATTCGTATTCGTAATTATTCGATTAGATTCGAATTATTCGAATCGAATTATTTTTGAATAGGCCTATCTGCATTACATTATTTTTAGCCCAAGCATATTTTTTTAAATAATTCGTCAACATGCTAATTATTTATTTACTTATTTTCGTTTCCTTATTTTCCTGTTTTTCGTTGCGTAATGTTTAGTAAAAAAAAATATTTACAAAAAAATATATAAATAAATAAAAAAATTAGAAATATTTTTATAAAATGTGCTCCATCATGCAGGTCAAAATATCTTTTTCTCTTTGTAATAAATTTATATTTTTTGTTCGAAAATAAAAAATATGAAATATAATAAATAGCACCCCCTCCCTCTACCCTCCCGCACTGATAATTTTATTTATTTTTACATAAATAATAATTATTTTTTTTAAATATAAAAATGTAGAGAAAAAGTGCATGATTTTATAAAAAAATTTGCCATCATTCTTTCTTCCGGGATTATACTTTAAATTTAATGAATCGTTGAAAATAAAAATAAAATTTATAAATAAATCAATAAAAAAAAAAATTTTTTTTTAACGTAAATTTATTATCCTAAATATATATTTACTACATATTATTTTTATATTTAAAGACTTGTATAATTTGAGCTTGTAAATCAATATGAGCAAATTTATTATCTGAAGAAATTCTTTAAAAAATTATTCATTCTCCAGCGATCAAATCAGACAGGTTTTAATGAATTAATTTTTGAGAAAAGATAAGCTAAAACTGTAACCTTTTTTTAAAGATATAATTAGGATTATTTTTGATAAATTTTTTCTAATTTTGTATTCATAACTAATTTTAATCTTAAAAAATATAAATAAATCCAAAAAAATTTTTTTAGATGGAGGATAACTTTAAAATTAATAAATTTGCCATTCATAAAATACAATTGAAAATGAAAAATATCGTTTGGGAATAAAATATTAATTTTTTTTAAAGTTAATAAATTGTTATTGACCCCTAAAAATAGAATATTTATAAATCAACATATTTATTATAAATTTATATTATGAATTTGTAATAAAATAACAGGATATATTTTTTTAAAAAAATAAATATATGTTGAAGAGAATTCATTCCATGGTTCAAAGATTTTATTCTTCCTTTCAAAATATAACAGACAATGTCAACAGGTAAACAATATTAGTTAATTTTAAATTTTATCAATAGTGCCATCTCATTATCATTTATTTTCCAATTAGTGTTGTTAAACGGCTCGATTTGAGCCGATTTTTAACGCGAACTCAATATTTTAGCCAGAAAATGGCCTAAGCCTTGAGATTTCATTAATAAATATTTCAACTTTTGTGTCATCTGAACAAAATTTTCATGCTTGCGTTATCAGTGAGAATAGCAATTTCTGGATAATATTGAAGTAGCCTTTTTAAAATCGGCTCTACCCAAGCCTTTTAACAACACTAGTTTTTCCATATTTCTTTATAAATTATAAACGACTCAAAGGTTAAAGGCAAAATTATATACAATACATAAAGGTATTCTAAGCATACCTGAATATATCAGTAAAATAAGATTTTAAAGTTTTAAAAAACTCAAAAAATGATCTAAAGTTAAAATAACACAAACACATGGCCGCTAATAAACATTTTTGGGGAAGAGGTGGGGATGGAAATTTTTATTAACTTAGTGATATTTAGGAGAACATGCAAATTTCCAAAGAACGTTAGGGGATTTCCAGTTACCCCCTCCCCGGTTACTCCTCTGTTAGAATATAAAAATTAAATTATTAGCCTATTTTTATAATAGATATTTACAGTGTTAACATGCAAAATAAGAAATAATTATTAATTAGATATTTTTTATATGATTACATTATTATCATTTGTCATCTTGTTTAACAGTAATAGTGGGTGGTAGTCAACAAAATAACTTTTTAAAATTGAGTAAAATTTTTTACAAAAAAAATATTTAAAATTACTGTTATCAACCTTTAGGGTAGTCTTTTAGGAATGCTATATATTTTATGACACTCTAATTATAAATACACTGATTTTTTTTATTTGAAAAAAATTCACCAAAATAATCCTTTTTTTTTAAAAAAAACACCTTCACATAATTTATTATTTTAACAAATAGTACCTTTAATAAGGAGAGTTTTGTCTAGAATGAATACACTTTAACAAAAATAAAAATAATGAGATTTTCGGACGACTATTTTTAAAATAAATTAAACTCTATATGTAAGTTGATTATTTAATGTGTTTTTTATACATCAAAATTTTGAAGTTCTAGCAATGCGAGGCTGATCCTTAACTAAGCTCATATTAACATTTAGTTTAACCCTGCTGTCACAGTTAGCAGGAATTCGCCGCGAAATATACAAAATAACACAAACGTAAATTCGCGCTAACTGTGAATGTAGGGTAAAGGAGGGATCCGAATCGAATCTGAACCGAGCAATTAAACCGGTATTTTATATCTAAACCTACCCTGAACCATCTAAAAATTTCTTCAGCCCAACCTGAACTAAACCCTAAAATGGTTATGAACCATTTTAAACTTTTTTTTATATTCCAACTGTTTTAAAAATATACCAAACAATCTTGACTGGCCGGTCAGGATGAGTGCGCCATTTTTTATTATAGTTAATATTGTTTTGTTATTAGGTAATATATATATAAGGATAAGATAAGAAATACATATATACTGGGAAGTTTAAATTAAAACAAAGATCATGTTGAGCAGACTTATGGACATAAAATGAGAAGGTCCTAAAAACTTTATAGGAAATAAGGTTAAGAGTTTAAAAGTGATGGTTAAACGAAAGAGAGAAAGGCCAGAACTCCAATGCACCCACAAAGTTAAAGCCAAATCACTAAATATAAATTGAATAAATGTATTGTGTGAATAAAATAAAATGGAAATTGTATGTGCAATACAATAATAAAAAAATTGATCCATATCGACTAGATATATCACGACGACACTTATCAGTCACTCATTTGATAACTCGACACTTAATCACAAGATTTTAATGACTCATTTATCTTTTTTAAAAAAAAAAAAAATATATAAAAGGTATAATTATTTTAAATAAGAAATATTGTCGCGCGATAAAGTGTCTCCAAACCGCTATATTTAGAATTCAGTTTTTAGAAGTTCAAATCGAGCCTATAATTTTTACGAATCAAACCCTTAACCCGTTATTTTTTTAATCTAAACCTAAACAATATTTACGGTTCGATCCCTGGTTTAAAGTCATAAATTTTTAATATATATCTAAATCTTTCCAACGTCAATTAGCTTTTATATCTCCTCTATGGCTACCTGTTTCTTTCTACAACAAACGGTTTACCCTTCATTCGTAGTTAGCGCGAATTTTACAAAATATGCTGTAATTTTATATACTGCCGCGAATTCGCGCTAACTGAATGCAGGGTTATAAATAGATCAATTTGTGTTTGATATTTGTAGTATATGTAATTAGATATAATTTATTTAATTTTGGGGGTAATTTAAGTATATTATTTGTAGATTTAGTATTTAAAACTCATAAAATACAATGAATTAATGCATATTTATAAATTTTCAAATAGTATTAAAGCTTGAAATTAAAAAAAAAATATTTCAAAATTTTAATGCCCGATGTGGCATATTATAGCTTTACGAAAAATCAGAGATTTGCCAAGCCTTACCTAATTTTTATATATGAATTGTTCTGCTGGGCCCAAATTTATTTGTGTATATAAATTGCCCGTCCTGTTAAACTCGATATAAAAAATTTTAATTTTTGCAGCCTGGCCCGTCTGGGCTTTGCAGATCTCTAATATATATCACAGACGGCTAGGCTTAAATTTTTTTTGGAAATACCCGTGCCGGCCGTATATTTTAAATGTAATATATTTTAAAAAAAATCCTGTCCGGGCCATAAAAATGGTAAATCTGCAGGTCTCTGTTATATCAATCTATGGAAAAAAAAATCAAATTGATTTAAATCTTTATATCATTGAAAAATTAATGTTTTGAGTTCAATTATATTCTAAAAGATAGAGAATCATATCCATTGAATGTTTTTATATTTAATTTTTAACATTGTAATATTTTATCCATCGTCTTTAATAGTTTTTTAAAATATTTCGATGTGGTCTTGGTTTTAGCTATATTTGATTTTAATACTTTAACAATGGTTTTGAGACAGTGGAACTAGTTAAACGGTTCGATTTAGCCAATTTTTTAATTTTTATTTTCGCCAAAAATAATATTATGCAAGCATCGAGATTTCGTTAATAGATGTCCAAACCTTTCTGCCATCTATGAGCAAAATCTCCAAGGTTGGATAATATTTTTTGGCTAAAATATTGACTAGCCATTTTTAAAAATTAAGCCTTTTAGCATAACACTAATTTTAATACAAGTATGACCATGTTTTCGAAGTGGAACAATAGTGGATGAACAAGCTTTTTAAAATTAATAGATTCATCTAAACTAATTAAACTTTAAGAAGTATTAACTCATTTATTTCAATAGTATGTTACGTTTTCTTATTCTGTGTCATAAACTTAGTTGTTTCTAGAAAGATATAGCAAGTAGTGATCTGCATCGGGCCTAATTTTTCAAGCCCGGCCCGAAATTATTTTTAGAAAAGTGTTGCCGGCCCGGCCCGAACCCAAAATTTTTTAAAAAGTTTTGCCGGCCCGAACCCGAAATTTTTTTAAAAAGTTTTGCCGGCCCGAACCCGAAATTTTTTTTAAAAAAAAATTTACCTACCCAGCCCGGCTCAAATTTATTTAAATATAGAAATTAATCTTTATAATTACTCAAAATAAAAGACATTTGTTATATATCGTTTAGTTTCAATAAATAAAATCAAATATTTTTATTTTACATAAAAAATTCAATATAAAATTGATAAATTTAGATATATTTAAAAAAATTTCCAAGGTCCGACCCGACCCGAATTTTTTTTAAAATATTAGGCCCGGCCCGAACCCGATTATTTTAAATAGAATTAGGCCCGAGTCTGGCCCGAAGCCCGTTTGGGCCGGGCTGGGTACTGGCCAGGCTTAACTTTGCAGATCTCTAATAACAAGTCCTTTTCAATCCATGATCATTTTTTTTCTCATTGCATTATTTTCTAATTCATTTTATTTCATTATGCGGTGTCCTAAATGTCAAAAATCGATTTGCAAACTTTTGAAACTATCGAAAAAGAAGAAATAAGCATTTTATTTAAATATAACAATAACAATATGCCCAAAATATAAAATTTTAAAAATTTAACATACGATTTTATTAAAACTTCTGAAAGTTTTAAATTTCGAATTTATTTAAAAAGATTTTATTTACGACCCCCTTAAAAAATTAATACCTCTAAAATTAATTTATTATGGAATTAATTAAACACCTCAAATTTTATTTTAATATGATAAATTATATAATAAGAATCAAAATTTTAATTTAAGATTTATAAATTAATATTAAAATTTTGGCTCGTGTGAAAATTGAATAATTAAAGTAAATAAATCATAATTTAAACTATAAATAAATAACTCATAAATATATTATTAATGGTATGGAATTTTTATTATTGATTATTAGATAACTAGTAAATAGCCCGTCAAAAATGACAGGGAATGAAAATTTTCTTCTAACTTTTATGCATGTTACCTGTTATTTGAAAATAATATCCAATTTTTATTCTTCTTACCTCCTCATCCCTTCAGGCCAGGTATAATCCATTAAAACTAAGTGCTATGGTTTGAGTAATAATAAATTTAAAGCATTTACTTAATACCAATATTAAAATATTACTGATTACTTATACCTAATTTAATATTTAAAAAAATTTCCAGGCAAAGTCCAAAGCCATATTAATTATGAAAATTCTTCCAAGCCCAATGAAAGATCATAATAATTTTGGTAGTTGAGAACTTAAATAAAATATTTAAATAATCAATAATGAATTTAAAAATACAATCAAAATTCAGATTTTCATGGGCCTTGGTTTTTTGATCAGGTCAAGCCCAGGCCTGCAAAAAAATTTGTTTTGGGCCAATGTCTGATCTATAATTAATAATAAAAAAATTCTCAAGCGTTTAAGCTCATAATAATTTTGAAAAATTTTCCCCAAGCCCAGCCCAATATAATTTATAAAAATATTTTTCAAGCCCAGCCC